GAGACGGCAACAGTTGCAAGCTTGCGTGCTAAATGCTGCCAAGAAGCGCCGGAATCCGGGTCATCGACATGGACCTTGCCACCACCCACCACCCACAAGGACGAAATCGGATGACAATGTTGCGATGGGATGCTGCCATTGTCTGGCTTGTCCTATTCTTTCAAATGCGCGTGTCCACGAGTTGTCCAAAAATACCACTCCATTGCAACATGCACATGTCCATAGTCTGCAAGAGTCCCCATCGCCAGGAATCCATCCCCCAATACGAAACACTTCTATTGACGGTGCCTTTTGAGAAAGGGGAGTTGCGATTCTCTGAAACATCATCACGTTTGGTCAAACAGTGAAGGGGGACATCATTCGTGCGGATCTCTCCGGTGAGCAAGCGGCAAGAGCCCACCGCAAAAGAACAAGGGGAAACTGCAAATTCGGGTGCCCCTCTAGCTTTTGGGTATTTAGTATCAACCCTTTAAGGCTTCATCCGTCATTTTAAATTATCTCCTGGGCACAACGTCTAAACTTCTGCACGGTAAATCGAAAATCCCTGAGGTCGAAAGATGTCGAAAGTACTGCCAAAATCCATGCAATGCCTGGCGGCCTTGGTCAGTGGCCTGGCCTGCCACACCTCTAGCCGTTGATGCCAGGTGACACCTGTGGGTCGCTTGTCGGAAGCAAGTCAACCCACAAAGTCACAACTGCAACAACTCCCCTGTGCCAGCAATGTCAGAGTTGCTACCTGGAGGAATGGCCGTGTTTACAATGTTCGTGCCAAAGCACAAAAGCTGTGACAGGGTAAGGGCGCATCGGCCATTCAACTTGCTTGGCAGTGACTCAACGGTCAAGCAAAGCTTCCATGTTTGCCCTTGAGAGGCTTTAGCCACAATCGCCGCAAGGCTCCCTGTCAATCTGGATGGATTCCATGCTGCCCCGAAAATGAGCAAAGTCGTGGCGGAGGTTCATGCGCCAACATAAAGTTTGGGGGTCAGTTCTCGGGTTCGAAGCGATGCGCCTTGATGGCTGGAGCTCTGAGGACAGGGCCTGAGACGGCCAAGGCGCGCGATTGCTGTGGAAACCAGGTCCACATGCCCCGGCCATTTTTGCTGCCTGGGGTTTGCTTTTTTCTCCTGGGGTTCCCTACATTGCCATACGTGCCCCTGTTCAATATCACCCTGGCGACCGGCAACTCATCGATAACTTGTTCCCAGCCGTGGCTGCTTGACATTGCTGCGAAGGAACATGTGAGGCGTTTGGGAGAATCCCTCATTTTGAAATGTTCCCGTGTTGAGGCTTGCAAGACTGCAGTCGGGAATATGACTACCATTCTCATTCTGACTCATGCTGACTCGCCGCCGCTGGGACAAACAAATAATTGGAGACTCTTGAAGCCCCAACAATCCCTCGAGGTCCAGTACTACAAGCTCTCAGCAAGAATACAAACAATCTGAGACGGAGGTGAAACAGCCCGCTTAGCACCTTGGCAAGCCACTCTCAGGCTCGGGCTGGATGTAAGTCCTGAGGACCTCAGTTGAGAGGCGACTTTTTGCCCAGCCGATGAGCATATCCCTGCTTGCCTATCAATGGCCAATCATGGAAATCAAACCCAGAGTGCAAACAAATTGATTACTTACATCTGACAATGCTTTGGCATTCCCTTCATCATCGAGTAGGTCATTTAAGGGCCTGTATCTGTCTGTCACCGCCAAGTCCCTGTTCACTCAGAAATCAGGCTGTGCTTGTTGCAAAGTGTTCTTGACCCCCGGGTGGCTAGCAGGAGATTGAATTGGCATATGTCATATTAATGTCAATGTGTATGTGTCTGTGTCTGGGATCATCTCCATCCCCGCCATGCCTCTTTGAGTTTGCTGCTCATGATTCTGTTGCTTTGGAGTGTGGCCGGTTGGGCAAAAATTCCTCTCGAGCCGCCTGAGCACGTTTGTTGGTTGTCGTTGGGGTATGTGACAGGCGCCTGTTTGCGATGCTGCTTGCCGCGTTGCTTCAAATGTGCCCAGTGGAGTTTCGGACGGGACAGCCTACATTCCCGCTGTATATGCTGTTCGCAACCATGGGCTCGAGAAAGCAAGGCAGGCAAAAGTTCTATTAAAAGTCCATCTTTTTCCAATAGCTTGTGCAAACATGTCCAAACATACTCCACCACAGTTCGTTCTGGTCCCAGCCTTTTTGACATGTGCAAAGCAAATGAAAGCATATTGCTTAAGATGTTGTTCTCCATGTTCGCCTGCGCGTCCAAAGTGGTCAAGGTCCAAGCGCTTATTGTTTGCAAACATGAGGATGGGACACCCTGGCCCTTGCAGTTTCTCGGCGTGTTGGGGCTTCCTCTGATGTGCCGGCTGGCGCAACAAGCCTGAACTGGCCTTGCCATCCAGCGCTAGGCAAAATGCTTAGAGTGAGGAGAAACATTCCAAGCGACATGTGCGCATGAGGCCATCCTCGCACAGGACCTCGCTGCATCAACTGTGGATCACGTGCGTAAACGCAAAGCGCATGCGAGCCCGCACAGCACAAAAGCAACTGGATGCAACCGGATGGTTCAGGGATTCCTTGCCGCAGCTGGTTCTTGCACTCTATGGAATTCGCTAGCACCAGTACAAAGCCTCGCGAGGCCGCGTCCGCGTCAGCTCGCGAGAAAAGATGCCTGCTTAGCCAAACATGATTCCTGGTTGCCTACTAATGTGAATGGGGTTTCAGATATGCACGTATCGCTGTGCTCTGTTTCTCTGTCCGGCCGGAGTGTGGTGCAAAGTCGTGTTGAAATCAGGCCCCTCTGCCTGCAGTGCTTCTAGTGCTCACCAACGAGCAGCGTTCCCGAGCGCAGGCCCGCTACGCAAACAGTTTGACCAAGCACGGAGGTACTTAGCACCTCATGCGCATGGGCCGGGTTGAAAGCAACTGGATGCCTAGTGCCAGCATCCGGAGATCAGCTGGGATCCTGCAAAGCTATGTACATTTGTTGCTTGCAATGGAACAGCTGCCTACAAGTGAGGCCACCAACGGCCGCGGCAGTCCGAAAGCAACAAGTGCCGCAGATCTTGTCAATGCTCCCGTTGTGTGGCCGTGAGCGATCAGTGAAGCATGCAGGGTGTGATTTCAGCAAAGCTTGTAAGCATTTGCAAAATCACCAAAAATACCGCCGCCAGATTGACCCGAGTGAATTGACGGAAAATCTCTTCACTATCATGCAGTACTCTCAAGTTCAGTGCAACAAAGTGGACAGGTTCTCCGATAGTTGGAGAGCCACGTGCGAATGCATTCTTCATGAAACTTGTGCTTGCATGGCAGCGCGGCAACTGTGTCAACTTCGGCAAAGCGTGCCAGGCAAATTGTGCACTCTCTGCCCATGAATTCTGCAAGGGGCACGCCCTCAAGGGCCTCATGTGTCTCCTCAGCTGTTGCGGGCTTCTTTGGGATGGCCTCGTCCAACCTCAACAGCAGTTCGTAGTCCTCGGGGGTGATGTCGCGGGAGAGAAGACTAAGGACCTCCCGGTGGGTCAAGCCGCAGGGCAATGTCGGATTGAAGCTCCTGGAGAATATGCGACACGGCAAATATCTCGCGCACAAGGCACATTTGCACGAATGCACAGTATGAAAATAGCGTTCCCCTCTGAATGTCCTCGCACTTGTGCTTTTGCACAGGGACTTCTGGATCGTTTTCAACAAAAACATACCATGTTGTGGTCCGAGACAGTCAAGCTGGTGCTCTCCCTGTCAAGCGAATCAATCATCAATTCCACTTGCTTCTCTTCAATCAGGGGGACCAAGTTAGAATCCATGGAAACCATTGCAGCAAACTTCAGCCCATGTCGGTTTCGGCCAGCCCAATCAATCAGAAACGTGCAGTTCGGCATCGCGGCCGGTGCTGCCATGAATTTCAAGAGAATCAATCCAAATTTCAAGGCCTGTGAAATCCTGCAAAGCATGGAGAGAATCATCAATCCACTTCAAAGGAAGAATGAGATGCAATTCCTCTGAAGAGCCGGGCAACAATGCCAGGCGAAACACAACTGCAATGCACTTCAGGCGGACACAGTCCACAGCTGGTCGTACACTGGCTCAGTGTGTTGAACCTTCCGGAATCAAAACAAACAATAAAGCAACGCGGATTTGGACAAAAACACGCGTTTGAGAAGCTTTGGTGATCATCGGTCCCTTCCCACTCCAAGTCGTTGGATAAGGTCCTACGCAAGCCAACAAGAGTAGCTTGTGACCCGCGAAAACAAAAACACCTTTCGGGACATGCGGAAGAGGTATCATAGAGAATATACTAGGCTAGCGACCATCAGCTTCTCAATCTGCCGATTGACCATGGCAAAATGAACATGCGAACCGCTTCGCATTGGTCAACAGTCGACCCCAAGTCTCCTCCGACTGGGGTAGCATCGGCTGCTCCAATGACGCCGGCTCCTGCTCCGGCTCCGCTCGCGCGGGCGCTGCACACGCCGCCAGCGCCAAACTCGGCCTTGTTCGCAGGACCTTGGGCGCGGAAAATGGAAAGACAAGCAGCGGGCAGTTGCTCAGTGCTTGCCTGTTTGTCTGGCACTGATGGTTTTCGAGGGCGGTTTGTTCTCAATCCATTGCAGAGTTGTTCATGGTAGTGTTTGTAATATGGAATCCTGAACATCCATACAGTTGAGGATTCACTGCTTAATGCAACACAGTGCTGCAGCTCTGTGTGTGTGTGTGTGTCTGCCTCTCTATCCTTCTGCTCTCACCCAAACAATAGAGCGGAGCCGAAGGCATGTACTGTGCAAGCTGGTGTTGCTCAGGCATTGGTCCCGGTCATCTTGCGAGGCCGTTTGCAGGGATTTGCTTCGGGTGTTCCCGGCGCTTCTTGACGAAGGCCTACCTTAACGGTGCGAAGAGACGAGAATGTGCACGTCGTCCGGCGGTTCCTGGCAGGGAATCCCGGATCCCTATCCGGATCGGATCCGGGGCACCTGAAGCGAGCGAAAGAACCAAGATCTCTGGTTCAGCGAGTCGAGTCGGACCCCGGGAGACCTTGGGCCGGGCGAGTGCGACTGTGTGATTTGGGCAAGGGAATCATTTGGGAGGTGGAAAAATCGCAAACATCTCCATGGAAACCGAGCAAATGGGCCTTGATAGTTCCTCCAGGGCCATGAGCCGGTGCACAAGTGGCCCAAACCAATTCAGGTAAAGGAGCATGGCCTTGAATATATCAAGATCCTCATCCAGGCTGGCGTTCCTGAAGTGGCATGGAGAGTTTTGCAATGGATAACTTGGGCAGAAAAAAGGGTTTCCTGTGATGACCTCGTCTTGCCCGATTACCTCTTACAGTTGGGAAAAGGAACAACCAAAGGTGAGGCCGTGGGCCTTTGAATCAAGGGCTGCCCTTTTCAAGGAAAACTGGACACACGCTTCAGAAATGTCGGCCTAGGCCATCCCGGTGATATCCAGCCCTCCAGGCGAAACTTGAGGGAGATCCTCCACACCAGGGACATCCTCACCAACACGCGCAGGGTCCATCGGATCATCTGCCTGACAAGGATCAAACAGAACCCGAGGCCGTGCGCGGACTCTCTTGACTCACTCAACCCTTGCTCCTGCCTGGGATCCGTCTAGACCAATGCAGAGGCCCTCCATCAGGGAGCTAACCGTAACCATGGCATATATCCCAAGCTCGCAAAGGGCCTACTGTCCAAAACCTGGGATTCTGGGAAGGACTTGGTGCTTTGCTGGTCAGTTCAGGACGAACTCGATTGAGTGGAGCAAGGCGCGCGTCCGCCAACCACATAGCCGGCTACTTTTGCCCTGCCAGGACGGCGCTTGCCCCAGTTGGGCGCATGGCAACGCATAAGATCAGCGGCAGCGGATCACCAGATCTGGTTACGAGTGCTGTGGAAGGCGTAGGGGAGGCAGTACAAAGGCGGCTAGTGAGCAAACAATCAAACATCCACAGCTCCCCCTTGGATCATGCTCCAAACAAATCAGTGCTCATGCACAAACAACTGAGCACAAAACAGGAATTCTATATCGAATAACAACTCGATGAAAGCAAAGGTGCTCATCATATACAGCAGATCTGAACATTCAAGCGGTTCGCGAATGCGTTGATCAAAGATCGAAATGGCCAACTCACTCCTCAGGTTGAAGAAGACAAAGACCGCTGGCCTAGTCGCAAAGCTCAGCGGAAACCGAAACGAAGAACAAAAGCACACCCAACCTCCTTGTCTTCTTGCCGATGTGCAAAACCATGTGCACCGAACGGGAACAGGCCCAGAGGCGGGAAGCTGCGCTCCCAGCTTGCACTGCCTGCCCGCCCCCCCACCCCACCCCGCCCGCACCCCCGCCCCTCACCGGTCTGCCTATGCTGCCTACCTGCTCAAGAGATGTTTCGTTAAGCGGGCTGTTGCTGATCCCTCTGTCCCGCTGGCTGAACCCGAATCCAAGGCCGATGCGTGTACGCCAAGGCACATGGTAGGGACCCAGGCGATGGAGTCAACGCCCAGCCACTGCATGCTGAGGCGGCCGTACCTTCCCCATTGCCAGGCAAGTCTGGCTGGATCCCACTGGATACTGAACTCGCGCGTGCCAAGGGAGTTTGTCCTGCACACTCTCTGGCCGCTCACCTCAGCTGCACGCTCTTTCTGAAACATTCAAACATTCTACGAGAATCGAGTCAACACAGCACTCTGAGTCACTGCGTAAGACACCATGTTCCCTGTATCACCACGTGCGTCTGAGATATTCTGCATTGCCTGCCCAAACTTATATTCGCTTGGCAAGCTGCATCTGGTCATGCCAAGCAGCAACTTGACTAAAACAACATTGCCTTTTCTATGTAGCGCTTCGGCAATTTCACCGTACTCGTGTGGCACTCCCATGCTTATATCTTTCCTTGAATTCTGACCCAAATGTTCCGGCCCTCCTGGTTCCATACCCCTATACGACAACCCCCCCATAACGGTATCAACTCAAAAAAACAGACCCATTTGGAGGGAGAGGCATGTGGATATTCCTGAAAGGGTGCGGCCTAATGGAACATTTATTTTACAAATGTTGCGAGCCAGGCAGCCGTGTACTCCTCCCACGGGCAGTCTGCATTTAGCCAAACACCATCAAGTTGACCTGCGGGTCCATGAGCACCTTGAAAAGTTGCCATGCCGTAGCTCATGGGGCTGGCCATCGCCATCCGGGCCAAGTCTTCTGGCGTCTGAGCAAACAATGCCTGGCGAACAGCGGGGAGGGCCCCACGATTCATGAAGTCAAAATTGCACCATGCAGCTCCCTCAATCTGTTTTTGGCAATGCCACATGACCAGCACAGCAAAGAGACAAAGTTGCAGTTCAAGCACGCCATCGCCAGTGCCGCTGCAAAATTGCGCTTGCGCCCTGTGCTTTTTTTCTGTTGCGCCGGAGCGTTGTGCAAAGTTTCACCCAAGGTTTAAATGAGGCCCCTCTGCCCGCAGTGCTTCGATCGTTCACCGCCTAGCAGCGTTCCAAAGCGGTGGCCCACGTAGACTTGACCAAGCAAGAAGGTGCTTAGCACCCGATCATACGCAAGGGCCAGGGATTCAAAAGCAACCGGATGCCAAGTGGCAACCTTGAAATTATGTACATTCGTTGCTTGCAACAGAACAGCTGCCTACGGCCACAAAGGAATTAGTGTCCATGGCTGAGAGAAAAAAAGCAAGTCCTACCATGGATCTTGTTAGTGCTCCCGTTGTGTGGCCTTGAACGATCAATGAAGTATGCAGGGTGTGATTCCAGCAAAGCGTGTGTGCTGTTGCTTGAATCACCAAAAATCTCGCCGCCAGTTTGACCCGAGTGATTTGACGGAAAATATTTTCACGATCATGCAGTACTCTCAAGTTCAGTGCAGCACAGTGGGCAGGTTCTCCGATAGTTGGAGAGCCAGGTGCGAATGCATGTTTTGTGAAACTTGTGCTTGCATGGCAGTGCAACAACAGTATCAACTTCGGCAAAGCGTGCCAGGCAAATTGTGCACTCTCTGCCCATGAATTCTGCAAGGGGCACGGCCTCAAGGGCCTCATGTGTCTCCTCAGCTGTTGCGGGCTTCTTTGGGATGGCCTCGTCCAGCCTCAACAGCAATTCGTAGTCCTCGGGGGTGATGTCGCGGGAGAGAAGGCTGAGGACCTCCCGGTGGGTTAAGCCGCAGGGCAGCGTCGAATCGAAGCTCCTCACGCAACTTGCACGCATACAAATAATCAAACAAATACCAAAACACAAGTAACCTCCCACCCACCTTCTGCCAGGCGAGCCAAGTGGAGCTGGCGGAAGTTTCCGGACACATCCGACACCAAAAAGCACAGTCTCCCACCAAAGCACAATCTCAACCTACAGGACCGCGAAACCATATAAAAAATATTATATATATATATATATGTATAAATATGAATTCGAGGGGTCGCCTCCGGTGGGGATTTTAACACACCTGGCACCCCGTACGGCCATTTAGTTTGTGCGGTCACCCCCCTCGTATTTGCCATATTTGCCCGAATGGCCATATTTGGGGTCATTTGCGTATGCAACCCGTATGAACCTCGTATATAGCTCCACATTGTTGTTGAATGAGCAGCTGTGGAGAACAACAAAACGTATGATTATGTTGGTCAAAGGCACATGGGTGCCAGGCATCTTTAGGAGGAATCCGGTCAACCACTGTGTCAAGCAAACCCATGACCCCCCCCTCCCCCTGTTGCTCGGCTGATTTTTCCCCCCACGCACTGCGTTCAGCATGTGCTCTTGCGAGTGGCCTGAACGGTGCACGCCCCGAGGACACTGTGCTCTACTACGCTTACGCGCGAAGTCTGCTGCGAGCGTGCTTGTCTTGTTCTGACAAACTGCGATTTTCGAGACGGCGCTGCGACAGTTTCGTTGAAATCTCAATGTTCCAGAGCTGGGAAGGTACCCTTCGCAAACAACCATCATGCACTTCAAGCTTGCCGTGCCTCGATTCCATGAGCGCAGACAGTACACCAGGGGCTCACGGTTATGAATTTTGTGAACTGTATCTTGCCGTACCAAATAGATTTCAAACCATTCCCAGACAGCACAAAGTTTGCATTTGCTCATTTTTTCCGCGCCGAGAGCGCACGCTGTTCAGCAGCCCTGACGCTTGCGACTAGCTTTCCGTTCCTGGCTGTAATCATGTGCCAATACTATAGTACTTGTCATACTCTCCTCACGTGCTATCTGCCATTCGACTTTTGCAGGAGCACAGCGCACTAAACTGCCTTTGACATCATGCAACTAATCGAGGCGCAGCTCGTGCTTTGAACAAACCCATGGTGGCTATGAGTATGAGGCGCCGCCTTGGACATTCAGGCAACGCTGTGGTTTGTATATCTGTTCTTTGATGCGACCACAAACCTGTCTTCTTTTGGCTTTTTGCTGAAAGCGTCCTGACAACTGCGCTGACAGCATCACTCTCCTGAAAGGGTCTGATGTTAAATTAGCTTTGGAGCAGCAGCGCATGTCAGCAAGTCGGCTGGACGATAAATGTCTGTGATATCGGCCAGGAATCAGATAGGGGATGGTAACGCGCAAACATGATACAATACAATGAACTGCCATGCATGCAACATGTCTGCATTCTGCCAGCGTTGATTTTGCGCATGGCCGGTAAATCACCAACTCATCCATGTCCTGTCACGTAGTTTTGTCCCTTGTGCCAACGCATGTCCTAGTTCATTGCTATTGAGGCAACATGTGATTGACTGGCCTCTTGCTCACCAGGCTCGCGACATACATCCCTCAACATAATCGTTGCACTAACCTCTCTCACCCCTTCCAAGGAGCTCCTCCAAGCAAACCTTGCAGTCATCAAGGGGCTAATATTGCAAATGGTCTTGCGGTTGAGTGATCTAATGATATCATTGTATATTGGGTACATTGTGTGTAAACAGTAAATATGTAACCAAGCACGCATTTCTGTCATGGCACAAGCAACTCTTCGGCAAGCGGCTACCCGAACCTATGCCTCGCATCCTTGGTTCAGACTGCAAGAGCGGCCAAGCTGCAAATCAGTTTCCCGTGAAGCCATCTCTTCCTCCCACCCTGTCTATTGAATGGTGAGTGGCTTGTCTTTCTTTTTGGAGTTGCTACCGTTTGTTTGGTGCTTGCTTGAAGGAAAACCAAAAGGAACACCACCAATTTCGGGGGTCCGATTCCTCAGAAAAAAAAGGCACACCCTTGTCAACCTGAAAGCTAGTTTATGACGATGGAGAAGCATTGAAGCTTTGATCAACAATCCTAGCTGCAAAACAAAACACAAACATCAAGCAAGATCTCATACCAGGAGTATAGCTGATGTGACACACCGTCGAACCATGCTCTTGAGAAGTTTCGCCAGTTCAATGCTGACTCATCCAAGCTGCTCCCAATGATTGTACAACTAGTCGACTATTTCAAGCGAAGCAGGATTGGAAAACAGGGTGGGAGGAGCGAGCAACCGCGAAAACAGATGCCAAGTAGACAGTCGACAAGGGCAATCGAAGAAGGAGACGAACAGTCGTTTGGAATGAGGAAGAAAGCAGCGGAACAATCAGCTTCCGCTGTGCACATACGGAAATAAAGCCAACTTCACACTGGCAGTCTGCAAGCTGCCTTGCTTGGGGGTGTGTGGATCAATGGACTTGCCTTGCTGCCTTCCAGCTTGCCCAGCTACCAAACAGAAAGGGCATCAACTAATCACAGCCAAGAAAAATCCAGCAGCTCCTCCGACTGGGGTAGCATCGGCTGCTCCAATGACGCCGGCTTCGGCTCCGGCTCCGGTCACGCGGGCGCTGGACGCGCCGCCAGCGCCAAACTCGGCTGTGCTCGCATGACCTGCGGGCTGCCACTCGGTGCTGGAATCGCTATCTTTGCAGAAAACACGAAGGATCAGGACCTAGTGCAAATGCTTGCCAGGGCACATGTCAGGGACCCAGGCGATTGCGTCAACGCCCAGCCACTGCATGCTGAGGCGGCCGTACCTGCCCCACTGCCAAGCAAGTCGGGCTGGATCCCACTGGATACTGAACTCGCGCGTGCCCAGGGAGTTGGTCCTCCTCACTCTTTGACCGGTCACCTCAGGCTCTCTCCAAATGCATGAGGCTTCCCGTTGGTTTCATGATTTCCTTGGCTTATTGTTTTATGCAAACAAACAAACACGTCTGGGACAAGCGATTGAAGAAATGGCAAGCCCGTTGGTCATTCTGAACCCTAACAGCTACTTGTGTCGTTCCTACAAAAGCCTGTTCCATTCGAATGTTACACTTGTTTGTTTTGACGGGTGCCTTTTCCCAGACATGTTCCGATTCGTTGGAACGATACTAAATGGCCCTTGAACTGCATGGTATCAGAGTACGGCTTCATCTTGTTTTTTCTTTGCCCATTCGTCCTTTTCAACTTGGGCGGGGAGCATCGCAGAAGCAGTGTGACACGCAAATCTGCCAGGCGGCTGTGTACTCCTCCCAGGGGCAGTCTGCATTGAGCCAAACACCATCAAGTTGACCTGCGGGTCCATGAGCTCCTTCAAAAGATCCAGCCATGCTATAGCTCATGGCGCTTGAGCTTGCCATTATCTCACTTGCGGGTCGGGCTCTGGTGGTTCGAGCAACAATGCCTGCAAAGTCATGGCTTGAACCGGCGGCAAGGTGCTAGTGCAGCTTCCCAAAAAGGGCGGAACAAACCCAGAATTCGAGGACACTTTGCAAAGGCGCGAATGGAAACATTCCCTAGGCCCTCACCTGTTCATGAGCATCACTTTGGCTGGGCTCCCAACTGATGACGGAGCGGCGTTGAAGAGGCGGACCTGCGCAACACTGCATGCCTTGCCAATTCCGCTAATTCTGCTACTGCTGCCATGGGTTTATGACTCTGAAACGTGTGCTTGCATCCAATGGATTGAAGATCTTCCCACCTCGCATTGCTGTCCCTGCCTCGTTCTGCCAAAGGCAAACTCCAAGTGCAACTGCATCAGGCTAGGTCGCAAGGTTGCAAGTGCGACAAACATCCACATACCATGCTTCTGGTGGAACAACCACCCTGCAGCCAGTTCTGGTGCCATCTAAGTAACCAGGGGCCAACAAACATCATGCGCCATGTCGCGCAAGCGACAGTTCCGAGCCCAGTATTAAGGGGGTCATTTTGTTCTGCATGTTCTTTCCATTCGGGGGTTGTGTACGTTGCATTGGGTGTAGGGCGGGTTTAAGCGGGTTTAAGTGGGCTTGGGAGGGGGGGGGGGAGCTTTTGGCTCGGTTCACGTTGCGTTGGGTGGTTTGAGTGGGTTTAGGGTTTGGGGGGGTGGATTCGTGGAGCGAGGGGCAGGGCGGTGGATTTTTGAGTGTTTAGGGGTTGGCTTGCCGGGGTAGGTTTAGACTGCGCTGAGGATGAGTTTAGAGAGGATTTTGGATAGGTTCGGGTGGGTTTAGGGTCGGTTCAGCGTAGGCTTAGGGTGGGTTTAGGGCGGGCTTCGGGCGGGTTTTAGGGTGAGTGCTTGCTGGCTTGCGTGCGTGCTTGCTTGCAGGTGACGAATTCCAATCTAGTGGGGAGGACCCTTGAACAATTTATAGCACCCATATAAAAATCCTCAATGTCAAACAGCACCGAAGTCTTATTTCAATTTGAAGGCTGCCCCTGAGGCCAACAGCCAGCCGACAACAAGCTGGTTTCATCGCGAGAAGTTGATGTGCAAGCAAGCAAGCCGCCTAGTAAGAGGCACGGTCGTCTCATGGCCGATGCAGCTTCTGACGCAGTTCGCAGTGCAATTTTCGGATTTATGTGAGGCGCCTCTTTGCGGCAACAATGACGCCTGTTGGATGTTGCTCTTGCTGAACCAGAGATGACTGTGGCTATTCCATGGAGTTGCAAGTCGGAAACAAAAGCACCCCCGGCTGTTTTGGGCCTGGACAGCACCTGCACGCAAGTCAGCACACCACGAATACCGCGCAAACCGACAAAGCGCTCAGCTTTGGCAAAAGAGCCCAAGCATCAGCTTCCGACTTCCCAGCCTTTCAGCCCCTTCCTTCCCCCTCAGCCTTTCAGCCCGGTGCTTTTTGAGCTCTTGCAGCGCCAGCTCATGAAGATCCATCAAGGCCGCAAGGCCAGAGGCTTGCCTCCAGCGACTGGTGCTTTGACACTTCGGCGCTGGCGGGACGTCTTTCTACGCATTAGTATCAGGCCTGCCGAGACCAACGTGGATCATGGACCAGCTTGGACCCACATACTTCAACTCAACATGGACCAGCACCCATGTCCAACGCAGGGTGTACCGCCCGCTTCAGCTTGGCTGGAAAAGTCTGGATCTGAGGCACAGGCTCTGTATGCTCTATTAGCACCACGGCGATGGCTTCTAAGTACTGCGCATCCTGGCAATAAGAATAGCCGACGCTTCTCATGAAGGGGCATTTCAGAACTGGAAGTGCCCAAAGGACATTGCCAATCTCATTGCTTTGTTCCCCAAACAGTGTGTCTACACTAAGGGGTTCTTACGGTAAGAGAAAAGGCCTTGGTGCCAGATTGAGGTGCCCGCTCTGTCCGCGAGCGTTTTGCGTGGTATTTACCGCAGATTCGTGCTCTTGCTTGATGTCGAAGTGCGGTTCGACTGCGCAGGCTCGCACAAAGTGAGGTGTCGACTTCTGTCCGCGAGCGTTTTGCGTGGTATGTACCGCAGATTCGTGCTCTTGCTTGAGCGTTTCGACTGCGCAGGCGCGCACAAAGTGAGGTGTCGACTTCTGTCCGCGAGCGTTTTGCGTGGTATGTACCGCAGATTCGTGCTCTTGCTTGATGTCGAAGTGCGTTTCGACTGCGCAGGCTCGCACACAGTGAGGTGTCGACTTCTGCCCGCGAGCGTTTCGCGTGGTATGTGCCGCAGATTCGTGCTTTTGCTTGATGTTGAAATGTGTTTCGACTGTGCAGGCTCGCAGAAAGTGAGGTGCCGACTTCTGTCCGCAAGCGTTTCGCTTTTTTTTTTTACCGCAGATTCGTGCTTTTGCTTCATGTTGAAGTGCGTTTCGATTGCGCAGGCTCGCACAAACTCGACTTTGTTGCTTTTTTGGCGGCTCCAGGGACCATGGGGGTTTTGTCTCGTGGTCCGGCGGCACGGGTTTCCGGCGAAAGGTCCCGGGCTCGATTCCCGCCCTGTCTTGTTTCCCTTTCTTTGGGCATGCTTGGATGGTGCTTCTGTGCTGCGACGGCTTCTCGATGGTAACAACAACCAAACAGCAACAGCAACAGCAACAGCAACAGCGCCACATTCATAGAAAGAAAGAAATACAGAGACAAAACAACGAGAACCAAGGAAGAAGCTACCTAGCTAGCTAACTCACTAACTCAGGCACCCTGTTGAAACAAACACACAGATCTTGCCTTTTGTAGTGATGCTTGCGCAGCCAAATACCGCAAATTGATGTTGCAGCTTCCTGACAACAACCGCCGTTTTGCGGCGCTGCCCGCACAATACTCTGCAGCGTGTGACCGCCGCCTATCACTGTTTGGGGTCTCGTGCCGGGGTAATTTGCCTTTGGCAAGAACCCTGCCTGGCCTTGCATAGCTCTTCGTTTTCCTCAGCTGGCAAGTGTCTGCATCTTGACTCCACGCTTTCCGGTGAGTCGGTAAGAATTCGGCCAGTTCTGCGACTGCAGCTTGGCCCTTTGCCCATACCCCAAACAGCACTCTTGCGAATCAGCAAGTCCACTTTGCAAAGCTTTCGCGTCACCGTGATTGCCAGCTGGTCGCAAGAGTGCATACAGCTGGTCAACGGGCGCAACACTCCTTGCAATTACCTTTTTGATCCACACTAAATGATTGCTTGGCTCAGCCAACCCGTGCAAGCCGGTGGTTTCAGGCGCACAAGCTTGTTTCATCTTATGTTCAGTCTGTAACAAATACACTAAGAGCAATGCAGCTGAATCCTTGTGCCAACCTCACCACTGGTAAATAAACTTGGTGACGACTGGACATCGCCCTGGCGATGCCAAGGTGCCATCTGGGCCAAGAGCTGCAAGGGTTGGAGCCACCCTGCCTGGGATGGCGCGAGAAATGGGAACACATGGGACCTCTCCAAGGCATTGGCCGCCATTTCCATAGGCGTCAAAATGCGACAAGTGTCCCTCTTTTGACACAAAAAAAAAAAAAACACATCCGAAGTGCGGCACTTGAACATGGGAGGAAGTGAAAAAAAAACTCCAAGTTTCAACTGCGCAGGAAGGCTACAAGACTTAACACTCTCCGAGACTCGAAGCCCTCTAAAATGTAACATGATATCTCCACAATACATTTTGACAGGAAGAAATGCAATGGTTGGTCTATGTTGGTCTCAAGCTCGGTTTTGTATGGGCAATAGGCCTAGGCCCAACTGTCATGTCAACACAATACAATGGGAAAGGGCAAAGGGGAAAGGCAAGAGCATAAGGCACATGTTTTGCCATGCATTCGCCAGGTTCAAAATGGACTGCAAGCCCCATGGACTTATGAGCGTATCCCGCGAGTCACGCTTGTTTTGAGCATGTCTGCTAACAAAGTAAGAGATCTCGTTCAAGCACTGCTCAACACTACTCATACAATCTACGGCACAGCCAAATGTCAGGGATGCTGGCGCCCAAGAAATAAGAAATGGCTCACGTGTGCCCAGGCAAAACAAGGAGGAAGGCGGTCCTTTTCTCCTCTCGACGTGTCAAACCTGGCTTGTGCACGCACTACTTATCAAGATGAAACTCACTCGCTTAGAGAAGTTCGACGAAGTGTGTATTCCAGCCCGAGAGGCGCAAACAAGAGCCGGGCAACACGGGGCGGGAACGAGGTAGGAACAAGCAACAGCACACAATTTGTCACAAAAAGCAGGCTCTAGGCTCTCATCATTAAAAGGCTGAAAAGCATCCTACAGCTGCTCATCAGCTCTGTCCAAAGGAGTGTTTCCTGCAACGGAAGCGGCTGGCAACAGCGGTCATAGACGTAATTTGGGCCCAAAAGGAGCTCATATAAGATGAGTATGATGGCAGTCAAGCCAAGGCTGACAGCGAACTTGCTCCGTCGCATACTATGCAGCGACTTGGCGTGATGGATTTTGGTTCGTTGCCCGAAGCTTCTGCGAAGGGTCACAGAACATTCTTCAGGGCAAAGGTGAGGCACCGACACTGATGTGATGCTAGAGATGCGGGATATCGGCGACAAAAATGAAATCTCCGCTGGCTTGCTCGCTTTCTTGCCCTCTTTGTTGCTTTCTTGATTGCTGGCTCACTTCCTTGATGAACAAATCCTAGTTGGCAAAGGACTCACCGATGGACAGAAGCCAATGTCAAGAACTTGCCAGCCTCCCAGCGCCCAAGAATCTTGGCCGTTCGCATTCCTGACGGCGCCCACCTCATGGCCAGCGCAAACCACCACATGCCGTTGGCCTGGCATCAACCGAACGACATGCCGGGCTGTAGGCTTGAAGAGCGGGGCGTGTAGCACTCAGCCGGGGGAGGGTCCAATGTGTGGATCACTTGATCCGTATGCAGGTCATAGCCGGCCGCAAAGGACGCACATGTTGCCATGCGCTTGAGGCCTTCACCTGAACCAATCAAGATCAGGTAGGTGTTGAACAGCCTGTGAAGCGTGGCAGTGTCTACTTCAGCGAATTGGCTCTGGTCATCCGATGATTCTTTGGAAATCGGTGCACAGCCTGCGGCAGCAGGCAGTGAACCGTGCGCTGACTCCTTCGTGTCAGCACCACCAAGCACGCCGATGGCCACCTCGCGCCCGAGGTCTGCGTAAGCCGCTTCGTTGCACCACGACATAGCGACAAATGCGAGCTTCAGCCATTCAGCCAAATGCTTTCGAGGCAGAGTGAGTTGGGCACCCTAGGCTTTGGACACAGCAAATGTTTGGACACATCCGGGATCAGCGTGTCCAAAGGAACAATAAAGTGGCACAGCTGGGGGCTAACTGTCCATGCCTTTCAGAGCTGCAAGAAAAACCTGCTCGGAAAGCCCCAACCCCCCCCCCCCCCCGCGCACCACGGGCAAGAATGACTTGCTCAGGAAACACGGAAACACATAATGGGCAATCAACAAACCTAGAGGTAATTCTCAATACCAAAAGGAATCACGCGATAGTGTTTCTGCATGTTCTGCTGCTTTCTTTGACTCTCCTGGCTAGGGCTTTCTTAAGTCGCCTTATTGGATCACTTGACAGCGTAGGCCTGATCACGGCAGCTCAGCTGCAAACGCCCGTACCTTTTGTCGCCGCCTAACACTTGACTGTTGCATCAAGAAACGGCTCGCTCAAGCCGCAGGAAATCATTCAGTGCATCGGCTGCAATGTGCAAACATGTGCACACGAATATTGATCTTTGCAGTCAACACTAATGAAGCCCTTGAGGCTTCAACGCCCTGGTCACCAACTCCAATTTGTACAAAACCTAATAGTTTGCAGCGTGTGATGGATGTGCTTAGCAGTTTGATTTGGAGAAAGCCTGGGCCAACAATGAGCAGAAAAGGCAGCATGTCGGGATTCTGCCTCAAGGGTAATGGACAAGGCTACGTGCTCCAACGTAGCAGGTGCTCTGTGCCAAGGGGATGACTTTTCGTCTGCGCAACAGCTTCAGACTCAGTACCGCGACAAGGAACTCAGCAACGCAAGCAAAACAATTATGGTCCATGAGGAAATGTGCGCAATCCCCCTTCAGCTTTAGAAAAAAACGGAACGCGTGGTGCATGAAGATGCACAAGTTGGGCTGTTCAAGACTGGAGTGTTGGCCAATCCAAATGCATACTCCATATTGGAAAGCCCCAAAGAGGAGCCTTTCGTAACCCAAGGAAGGAATTACCTTTGAAAAGCCCAAGCAAAGGCAGGTCCGTTTCACCTGTCTTTTGCAGGTAGGGATTCTACCCAGTGCCGCTTGACTCTCGCAAGCATTCCGCGGGCTCCTCTCAGGCCATATGCGCATCATCCTTCCAAGATACGGCGTCAGCAGTTGGGTAATTGGCTCAATCTCTGAGATGCAGCGCGAAAAAGCAACCACGCCAAGAAACACCACTATTGCCAAGCACAAGCACAACCAAAGCGACTGCAACTGTCATCGTGCAAACTTTCCAGCACAGCCGAGCCTGCACGTATCCAGTCTTCTCACAGTGTTCAGTGCAAGACCTCACAGCTTGCAGTGTGGCATCTCCCAACGGATGCCCCAAGTGCATCCGTACGGGTTCAGACAGTAAGACTTTCACTACACTAGGGCGGACCAGCCATGCGCAGCTCCCGAGCCACCCGCTCTTGAGATGCACGTCATCCCCCCCAGCACGAAGGATGAATCCCACTGAGCTGATCCTTCACAGGCCTTTGCAAATATTAGAAGCCTCAAAGGAATTCTAATCTTCAATGGATTTCAAATCAAGCATTCGAATCAGAGTAATCAGAAGAAACAACCAGCTTGGCTTTCCTCACTAGGTTCTAGTTGCACTAGAATTAAGCTCCAAACAGAATCCTACTGCGACGTAATGCCTATGTTAGAATCTAAGTCAACATACAAGTTTCAAGTGAATTCTGGTACAAACCATCCACTCTACCTGGACCATTTCCACAACTTTCTCTCCTAGGCGCTGGAAATTAATGGTCCGGTCTGCGCAAAGCTTGCCGCAGCTGCGCACTTCGCAGCTCCTTGGCGCCGATGCAGCGCGCCAAATTGCAACGGGAGGATTGGATAAACGTCAAAACGCCTGGCTATGTAAACATGACTTTGCTCAGAGCCATCATGGTCTGAGTAGGCTGTTGATGATTTCCGACCGACTGAACTATGAGATCAGTAACTAAGGGAAACCAACTTCAATCCTGATGCACCAAATTTGAATCCCTTGGTGTTGCACAAAGGCACACTTTCCATTTCACAAGTCACCGCTATGCAACATGTGCACCATGTCATGAATACGGCTTTGCAACACGTAATTTTGACAACTACATCCATGAACTCAGCAAGCATTGAGTTGGGTTCCAAACTTGCACCTTGCAGGCCAGGTCTCTTTTCGCAGGCCTGATATGCTTCGACGTCCTGGGCATGGGCAATGCAAAAGTCACAGCATCCATTGGGCTCGCAGTCCTTCCCGAGGTGAACGCTGCATTCCCTCACCATGCAGGAGCCCATGGATGAGGAACAGCTCCTGTGGGCCACGCCGCTTTTCCCCTCCCCGGAGCGCCCCTCCCCCCCCTTCCCAAACCCCCCAAACCCCCCGCAGGTCTCCCCATGCACGCGTCGTTGTAGAGCTCATGGCCTTGGTGGCTCAAGACTCTGTCAGAGGGGTCGAGGGCACGCTGCTTGTGCCTTTCAAGTCTGGAAGATCCGCTCGTTTCAACTGGTACTGATGCCTTGGTTTGAGTGCTTCTGAAACAACGAAAAGCAGCATGCTGTCGAATCCTTCCTTTGATGATTGGTTTCGTGGCTGGGCTGGCAGTGTGGCTCTCACAAAGCAAGCATTGTGAAACACATCGCAAACAAATTGTTGTCCTTTCCCCCAATTGCGGGTCGTCTTGGTCCGCGGCATTGCTGGCTGCAGTGTGAGTGATCACTAGGGCGGCACTCCTGCACCAAGCAAAGATTAGAGAGCAGAGTTCTCCGCAACACCCCCAAACCCAACTGGAGGTCATTCTGCCGAAGTATGGCATTTAGTCCTACTCGCGCTCAGCATCCAAGTGAAAAAGAGACTCAAAATATACAGCGAACATGTGAGCACCCTGTAAAGGCTCTGGGCTAAGATGGCAAAGGTGCCAGTTGGTTTGCTTTGCCAAAACAAGCCTAACTTGTGGATCCCTGAAATCTCACCTGAGGATGCTCTAATGTCTTCAAATCAGTGGGATCTCCTCGTAGCACAGCTTCGCCTGCGGGAAGGTTTCTCAGTGATGGCCTTGAGTGGAAATTCACCAAAAGGCTTCCCTATGCTCAAGCTGTTGGTGCAAAAGACCGCATCTCGTACAAAGCTTCCTCACCAACAAAATGACAACATCCCTGTGTGTGTGTGTGTGTGCGTGCGTGCGTGCGTGCGTGCGTGCGTG